TCAACTCGATGTTGAGACTCAATCTATGTTGACTCGTTTAAAAGATTGTTGGATGAAGTGAGGAATCTCCGTATATGAGACAACTTTAATGAGCTACATATGAACAAAATAAAGAGAACTTATGTCAGACTAATTTTTTAGTCGTATGACTCTTGGTCATATTTAGACGACTTATTTATTTTTGTGAGGAGAGTTTATCGCAAACTCGCCAGTGACACATTCATAAGACAAATGGACAATCAGCGGCTTGCGCAAGCAGAAGATTAAGTTTAGGTAATGAGTGATATTCATATGAATTGGTGTGAAACTGTACAAATAAGCATTTGTCGTAACTAAGAATGATATTCACATATACGGAAGATTAGCGAACTAAAATCACTAGCAGCGAATCAAAAGTAATGGTCAAGTCAAAAGTTGACGTGGCATAAGGATCTTTTACGACTGCCGTCCCTAAATATAATTTCGTATCTTAAACAAACACTGAGTAGTTTAGTGGTCGCTTACACAGTTGGTGGGTGCAAAGTGTATGATATCTGTGATATAAAAGAGAAGAGTAGAATTCGTATGTCTTAGTGGTGTGTGATTTGAACAAAATTGGATATAGTAGCTTAGATAAATGATTCAAGCCAGATGGATGATGAAGCTGCAGTGGTATTCATTCCTAGTCACACGATCTTCGAAGCTGAACACATAACGACTCAGAAAATTTGCACTTAAATTTGACAGCAATGGAAAGACAGAAGTGGTGAACGCGGAACACTTGATTGGTGTGGCATGTCTCAGCCATACAAGTGTGATCACTGTAAGTAACTTCTTATTCTTCCTATTAAATAAATAAATTTTTTTCTAGCCCGAATGCAGCAACTACAGACCATCACGATAGAACGAGTCAGTATAGATAATCATGGGATTTTCACCTAAGCTCGGATATATTAGCCGGTCATAGCGTGACAAATCTACAACTGTGGAATGGCTCTATTATTCTAGTGGCATTGCTAAGTTTACTAGGACTGACCTAGACTGTAATTCCATACAGCCTTCTTTTCAAATGATAGAAGTAAGATTTGACAGTATATAAAGCTTCACTTATTTTTTATGGTTGAAAGATGTATAAGGTGACATACTGCAAACTGATCAATATTTTTACCTGTGTAATAAAGAGCATCTGAAGAATGATTCATATTGTCAACACCTTGGCAAAAATGGACTACAAATTGTGGCACTAATTACTACAGCCAAATGGTTAATCAGTTTTATATCGATGTACATAGATCGAAATGAAAAAAGAATGGTAGTAACTGGGTGCAAAATGCTGAGAAATAAGTCCTTGATGTCAAATTTTCAGGTGACTGGGTTTCGAGTCAAGTCTTTGATGAGTTCGGGACATCAAAAAAGCCTATGGAATTTTATGCTGAATATTCACATCGAATAGCTCATGTACCAGTACAGTGGAGCAAATCGGAATGCAACACAGGATTCCAGATGCAGTTAAAATTAATTTAATATCAAACAGAAACAAGAAAAAGTAAATGAGACATTTTAACTAGAGCAACAAAAGCTGTTATAAATTGTCCCAGTTGATCACAACAGATAATAGTGGTAATCGATGGTCAGTAATGGTTATATACTGAAGGTATGAAAGATGAGAGGATTCAGTCCGGGTATTGGCATGAAAATACTAACTCTAAACAGGGACTTGCAAATGTCTTAAATACCCTGCAGCTACGTATGCATACAATTAGACTTCTCATTTTGAATAAGTACCATGGTCTTCGATCTCTGAGATCTAATATCGCAGTGCAAACCATTAGTCTTCGCAAAACTAGCATTAATTTCATGATCCTGCATGTTTTCTCTGAAGAATATAGCATAGGCTGGATCCAGTTGACTTCATGTAGTCTCTTTTCTTTTTTAATATGTACCTTCTACACAAAGTAGGATAAACAATTAGTCTTCCATAATACTAGTTGCATTTGCTTGTGTTAACCGTTAACACGTTTGTTGTATTATTAAACAACGCTAAGATGTTATTAATCAAGTCAATAAACTATTTACGTTTCTTATTCAACGAATATCGACACATACATGTGTTGATGTTTCTTCAGGTCCTGTTCGTTTTTGTGCAATGCACATCAAACTTCCATAATGTTTCCCCACGAATTATTCTACAACTGCGCTGTTTATTCCTCGGATTTTTAGTTCTTTCGTATATAAGTGGACATACGTGAAATGCATACAGAATTGTCTTCTGTCCTTGATGTGTGATTTCAACTTGATGGATTGTGTTCAAACCATGGCAGGTGTCTCCGAGTTCATTGTGATAGTTACTGGTACCACAAATTCATCCAGTGTCTAAACTAAATCAATCTACATTCACCCCAACAGTATGGTTTCAGGAAGGGTCATTCTTGTATAACCAACCTGCTGGCTTCGGTGAACAGATAGACAACCATCCTTGATCGCAAGGGGAAGGTTGATGTCATTGACCTTGACTTCTCAAAAGCTTTTGATATGGTCAACCAAATACGTCTTATCGACATTTAAAGATCAGGGTTAACTTCACTTTCTCTCAGGCTATGGAATGTCCTAGTGGGGTCCCCCAGGGTTTAATGCTGGGATCTCTTCTTTTCTTGATTTATATAAACGATCTCCCACAACAGGTATTGTCTGACTTATTATTTTTCGCTGCAGATAAGTATGCAACCAAGAGGAGGAATCGGCAGTTCAGGAGGATCCGACTTGACTTAAAAGTTGAGCAGATGACAACGGACTTACCTTTAACACTTAAAAGTGTAAAGTAATCCATCTGAGACATGTTGCAGACTACAGTTAAAACTTAGGAAACTCCTCTTAGGAGTGCCGGTACCCTACAATTTGAAGTCTTACGTTAACTGTGACAAAAATGCCTTTTGAGCAAACCTTGCACTGGTGTGCATTACACTTCAACGGTATTACTGATCCCCATTTAGAGTATGGACATATAGTACTTACTCCCTCTCTGCAAAAAGATAACGACAATCTGGAACGTATCCACCGGCAAGCCACGAAATCAGTTCGGGGACTTGAATGCAAGCCCTATAAAGAATGTGTAGGGCCATCCTCAAGCACCTCCAGTCACTAAATCTTTACCAATCGGAGTACAGTGGTTTTAGAGGTGACCTTCTAATGGCTTACAGTATCCTTAACTCATCTAGACATCCCATTAAATACTTAAGTTTAGCCCCAATGAAAACCTAAGGGGGAACACCGAGAAACTGGAGACACAATACAGCAGAATGGACTATAAACACTTCTACTCCTTAAGAGTTGTGCAATGCTCTAATTCTTTGCCATCTGACCTAGCCCAACTAACTTCCCAAGAGTCCCTTAAGAGGAAACTTGACATGTTCTTAAGGACTAAGGATGGTATCTTACCATGATTTACTAATTTCTTTTTCGACTTTCATCGGTAATATATATGGGTTCCTGCTTGGAGGTATTGGTGATCCATTGCTACTGGAGACGGAAGCTCGTTAAGCAAAAGCTTCTTCTATTCCGTCCACGACCATTTTGAAACCATTTTTAATATCTTAATCAGGTTACGATTGGTCAGCCATTACTGTTATTACCTGCCATGACTAAGAGAAAAATTCACAGCCTTCTAATTATATGTATTATGGGCCAACGAATTCTGTGTAAACAGTATGTTTGCACATCAGTATTGTAGCATTCTGGAGCTAACTAGGATGGAAGTTGCTTGCTCTTAATGGCATAACAAATGAATGCAGACCTAGCAGTGGAGCATCTGGTTCAGCTAGAATGCACACTAGAATGTGATTGTATAGATCATGTGATTGTTTATGAGATGAATTTGTGGTAATTAGATTATCTTCAAATCCTTGCCGATCACAATAATAATACATACCTAGTATAAGAAAGACAGAAAGAAATTAACACAAGGGAGAATGCTAGGAAATATTCATATCAGTCATTATTTATTGAACCAGATATTATCATCAATACTGAATACTCTAATAATTAAAAGTAACAGTTGATCATGTGTAGAAGTGAAATTCCAAAAAATGCATTATTTCCCATTCTCTGATTAATAGATGTGTACATTTTAACATATAGATGTTGTTATTCAGTCTTTAACTCTTAGTTTACTCTCCACAGACTTAGCAGTTACGTACCAGGCGAACGAGTTACTGGATTTCTCTCTTCAATTCACTTGGATTACTGGTTGATACAAAAGTGGTACGCTTTGCACTTGATGAATTTCAATACATAACTAACTGGTCATGCTCTGGTGATTTGTGGAATCCCTATGCAAATACCTCAACATTTTACTTTCAATGCTCTAATCCTTTTCTAATTACCATTGGGAGTGAAATTGAGAACACGGATTTTGACTGTGATTGCGATTTGTTAGTTGAGTTCCATTTTGGTTGTTGTGTTAAGAGGAGACGCATCTTAACAATCGACCGACTGTTTCAATTATTTTACTGCGGTTACCATGGCGCCCATCATTGAGATAAAAATTATGATTATTCACCACGTGAAATTTTGAAACGTATTCGAACGTGAGAAAGTGATTCAATTTAATAGGACTGAAACGACCTGAATAAAATGCATGAGGCAATAGAATCGATCTCGTATGATAGCGACTACTATAATTTTTTGCAATTTCATGAGATTGTACATTGACGTCACATATTGTCTGGGGAACGACTAGTCATATGCAGATTTTAATTAGTTAAACCAGTATGTAAATTAAGAGTTCTAACCGATCATGTTACACAACAACATTGTTTTGCTTGACAGAATTAATAAAGTTATGAGTTCCATTTCAAATAATACATTCTAATGCAAGAGAATCTTGTGAAGTTTTCGTGAACTGCCGACAAGCAAAGAAGTTATCATTATTCTTCATTTCATTAAACAACTGTTGAAAATCTAGCATAACGGGGGGGGGGGAAAGAACAATGGTCACACAAAACCAGTGTTTTTATTTTTTTTTGAAAAGAATTATCAACTTTTGATGTATATATTTATCTGCAAAACAATAAATCCTTGAAAGATCATTTCGAAGTTACTTTGATAAGTTTATCTATCAATAAGATTGTAAGGTGACAAAAGAACAACAGAAATTCACAACCATATTTATTTAAAAACGTTATCTGCAATTTCAGCTCAGAGATCGATACTCGTTAACTGTTCATGAATAACATTGTTTCACAGGGGGTCTTTGTAGATTGTGTTCAGAAAAACGAGATTGTTGTATTGTATGCCGACTTTTCCTATTTAAAATAAACATCATCATGATTATAGTCAAGCAGATCATTATCATATGATATGAGAAGGTATTATTCGCGTGTATAATGGATATTACGTCATTCTGATCCCGAACAATTAACCAACTCCATGGTGAAAAAAGGTATAATCCAATCTAATTAACAAGGAATAAATGCAAATTGTGTATCATTATTAGAATTAAGTGAATACAAGCAGATACCGAAAGCTGAAAAGGGTTATTTTGAACCAAAAAAAGAGTGGTACGAAGTCATGAAATATGCCACTTTACCTATATATTCAAATGAGATCTCAATACAGTTGTTACTTGTTAGCTGAAGTTTCTGTGATCACTTCGATACACATTTTTAATCTAATTACTGCCATAGTATTTCTACTGAATTACTCATCTCCAAAATCACTACAATATGATCACCATTATTACCTATTGTTATAACTTGTGCCCTGTGTCCTATAACGTGATGACACCGCCAATTAGAGAACAGTGAATTTTCGACCGGACTAATGATGCATAAAACCTGTACAGACAGACTAGAGTCCTCATCGGTCCTGCTTCCCGTCAATCCCTGCCTGTTAAGTCCACAACACCATTCTCAGACTCCGCGATATGAATCATTTATTTCAAACATACTGGGTTTATATATAAACCAAACAGATTACATCGTAATATGAAATAGGAAACAACATTTGTACAAGATTTAGCCAGACGTGGCTGTGAATGTGGGAGACTGTAATTAATAGACTGGGAATAACTCAAGAATGGTAAATCATATGAGAACAGTTCATAGATCAAAATAAAGCTCATGACAAGAGGAACACGAATATGAATAGTTTAGTTACTTAACAATTATACGATAAGAAGTATATGTATAGTAATATTCAAGAAATAGATTCCGACAGTTACCATTCATTATTCTCAATCGGATATAACACTTATTGTTTATATTTTGTAAGGAGTTGATTTGTTGGAATAAATAAGGCTCGCTAGAATGTATGGGTTTCATGTTCCTCTATCGTTAACCAAGTACATTGCTACACAGCAATAAAAAACCATCAGTGTTTCCTGTAATCATGAAATGATAGGTCGTTGGAATTCAGCCATATCTTGTCCCCGTGCTCACATACCAACTAAAGTCCAATTGGTAAATGAGAGACGGTAAACAAGACGTGCTATTCAATGAAGTCTGTTACGCACTTTCTCAAGCCCTTAGCTTATAATTAATTCTCTTCTAGTTCAGAAGAACATATTTTTGTATATTCATATTGCGTGTACACTTTATTCAGTTTGTCTATTTCAGCTTCTTGTCTATTCTTAGCCTTTTTATGCTAGGTATACTTATAGGAAGAGTGTGTACATGTATTTGAATCAAACCGCTGAACGTAACGGTAAACTAGGCGTTTTCTAACATTTATTTGATATGTTGCACGAGAGCTGATTTTTAGATCACTCCCTCAATTCACTTTATTCTGTAGTTTTGTTTTTCCTACTGGATTGTGTATCTCTGATCCAAGTAACCTTTCAGAACTTGAATACTGATATTACACAACATATGTTCTAACGGTGAGTTAAGTAAGTGGGTTAATCATTTTCTAATCATTGAATTAATCTGGCAGAATAGTCTGTCTAATACACTTAAAAATTCTTACAATATAACTTTTTGTTATTATTCAAATATTTGGGTGCATACACAGCTTAAAGACAATATGTTTCCGGTATTCTGAGAAGTTCCCAAACCCATTCATTAATCGCTAATGGATTTTATCCACATTCAACATTATGTAACATATGATAGTATGCAATTCAGCTACGTAGTAGTAGAACATTAGAAGCCTTGAACTTAGTGACATTTAGAACTTGAATTAAAGTTCTGTTATTGTTGTTCTCAATGAACGATTCAGACTAAGTGAGCACACAAATGTTCTGTGGTGTGTTAAGGTGATTCTTATTTACTGATAAATACATAGATTTGTCAGATAATAATCCATAAGGACTTCAGATAATGATTTGGTGAACACTCACCAATAAGTACCATAAAAGAAACATCCAATTTCATGTATTGCACAACCTATTTGGATTTGTCGTTACTTTAAATATATCAGAGCAATTTACTTTATGTACTTTGAATGATCAAGAACGTTAAATTATTTCGAATCACGACAGGGATCTTGTACATAATTTCCCCAGCTGAAAGATTAGTTTCGAGTGAATGTGTTTTGAAAATAAAGTTGCTATCAATCTCATGCAACTGATCTCGTTAATTATTCTGGAAACAACAAGATTAACATAAACTGCAGAATAATACAACTTCATAAGTTCGTCGCAAATTTCTTATGATATATGACAATGAAATTACTTGATTGTTTATATTCAATAGCTGAATTCTCGAGTCAATTAAACTTAGACCACTATGGAAAACCTGGAAGCACTGGACGGCAATTTTGTCCTTGTATGGAACTCAGTGAAGACAATGATGGATGTGTCGCCCAATTTCGTGGATTAGTTGAAGTTACACATTAACACCGTTGGATGCCGGTCAGCTCAGTGGTTTAGAAGTTGAGCGTTCGCGCACGAGACCAATAAGTCCTTGGTTCGAATCTCACGGGGTGGGATCGTGGATGCGCACTGCTGAGGTGTCCCACAATAGAACGAAACGACTGTTCAGTGCTTCCAGGTTTTCTATAGTGGTCTAGCTCCAATTAACTCATGATCTTAATTATTGAAATTACTATAATATCCACAAAAACTCCTTCTGAAATTTCGTATATGCATATAAATATTACTGTATATTAGAGTAAAGCCTGATGAGGATCTAATCGAAAACAATATTGTACGTTTATATATGTTCTAAATTACATTTTAAAGTGAATAGACTGTAGAACTCACATGACAAAGCCACGAACCAATTAATATGAAACAAAAATTATGCATCAAACTGAAGATTGGATTAGAATTGGAAATAATCTGTGCAATATGTGATATAATTGTAAATAATATTGTATGAACCAAAATAATATGCACATGTGTATCGAATGGAGCTCGTTTGTGTAAATGAAACATCAGTGAAAAGTATACAGCACATCCCATCATAAGGTAAAATAAATCACAAATCTGCCTAAAATGAAACGGTAAATAAATATTTTAATCAGTAGATACTATCCAGAAAAGCACAACATGCACTTATAGGATGGGAATCTCATGGACCAAGGATCATCAAAGCCTCCTTCAGAACAAAGAAAGAGGACATTTCAATGAACGTCATCCAATGCTATGCGCTTACCAACGACTACAATGAAGACGCTAAAGATCAATTCTACAATAGGCTGCAGTCAATCGTCGAGAAGTGCCCAACAAAAGACCTGACCATTCTGATAGGAGATTTGAATGTCAAGGTTGGAATGGACAACACTGGATATGAAGACATCATGGAATGACATGGAGTTGGAGAAAGGAACGAAAATGGTGAGAGATTTGCAAACCTATGTGCCTTCAATAAACTGGTCATAGGCGGCCTTATATTCCCACATAAATGCATTCACAAAACCACATGGACTTCACCAGACCACACAACGCAAAACCAAATCGACCATATCTGCATCAACAATAAGTTCAGGAGGACGATGGAGGATATGAGAACCGAGAGAGGAGCTGATATAGCATCAGATCACCACTTGCTGGTCGCCAAGATGAAATTGAAACTCAAGAAGCACTGGACAACGGGGCAGGCAATATCACAAAAGTTTAATGCGGCTTTTCTTCGGGATACTGACAAACTCAACAAATTCAAGATGGTCCTCGACAATAAGTTCCAGGCCTTTCATGATCTACTCAATGGAGAGGGAATGTGTGGAAGATTTGGTAATGACGGCGGAAAAGGCCGTGATAGAAAGAAACATGAGACAACTGTATGATACAACAAAGAAGCTGGCTGGAAATTATCGTAAACCAGAACGACCAGTGAAAAGCAAGGAAGGCAAAGTAATCACCAACATTGGAGAACAGAGAAAAAGGTGGATAGAACACTTCAGGGAATTTTCGAATCGACCAGTCCCATTGAACACACCCAACATCGAACGATATCCACGAACCTTCCAGTCGATGTCGGCCCACCAACAATTGAAGAGATCAGAACGGCCATCAGACAAATCAAGAGTGGCAAAGCAGCAGGACCAAACAACATTCCAGCAGAGGCACTGAAAGCAGACGTATCAGTAACTGCAAGGATACTCCACATTCTCTTCAGCAAGATTTGGGACGAGGAACAAGTACCAAGAGACTGGAAAGAAGGACTTCTGGTCAAAATACCAAAGACAGGCGATCTCAGCAACTGTGAGAACTACAGGGGCATCACTCTTCTCTCAATACCATGAAAAGTCTTCAACAGGGTATTGTAAAACAGAATGAAAGACTCCACAGACGCTCAACATCGAAATCAACATGTTAGATTTCGTAAGGACAAATCGTGTACCGACTAAAACCCAACACCACGGATCACTGTGGAACAATCAATTGAATGGAATTCATCACTCTACATCAACTTCATTGACTACGAGAAAGCATTTGATAGTGTGGATAGGACAACACCATAGAAGCTTCTTCGACACTACTGCGTGCCTCAGAAGATAGTCAATATCATACAGAACTCATATGGTGGACTAAACTGCAAAATCGTGCATGGAGGACAGTTGACAGACTCGTTCGAGGTAGAGACCGGTGTCAGGCAAGGTTGCTTACTCTCACCCTTTCTCTTTCTCCTGGTGATCGACTGGATCATGAAGACGTCAACTTCTGAAGGGAAGCACGTGATGCAGTGGACAGCCAGGATGCAGTTGGACGATCTAGATTTCGCAGATGATCTGACCTTTCTATCTCAAACGCAACAACAAATGCAGGAGAAGACAACCAGTGTAGTAGCAGTCTCAGCAGCAGAAGGTCTCAATATACACAAAGGGAAAAGCAGGATTCTCCGATACAACACAGCATGCACCAATCCAATCACAATTGACGGAGAAGATTTGGAAGATGTAAAAGCCTTTACATATTTGGCCAGCATCATTGATGAACATGGTTTATCTGATGCAGGTGTGAAGGCGCGGATCGGCAAAGCAAGAGCAGCATATTTACAACTGAGGAACATCTGGAACTCAAAGCAACTGTCAACCAACACCAAGGTCAGAAGTTTCAATACAAATGTCAAGACAGTTCTACTGTATGGGGTGGAAACTTGGAGAATTACGAAAGCCATCATCCAGAAGATGCAGGTGTTTATTAACAGTTGTCTGAGCAAAATACTTCGTATCCGTTGGCCAGACACTATCAACAACAACCTATTGTGAGAGAGAACAAACCAGATCCCAGTGGAGGAAGAAATCAGAAAGAAGTGCTGGAAGTGGATAGGACACACAATGAGGAATGCATTCAACTGCGTGGCAAGACAAGCCGTCAACTGGAATCCTCAATGCCAAAAGAAAATTGGAATACCAAAGAACACATTACGCTGGGGAGTGGAGATAGACATGAGAAAAATGAACAAGAATTGGATGGAACTAGAAAAGAAGACTCAGGACAGAATGGGTTGGAGAATGCTGGTCGGCGGCCTATGCTCGATTGGGAGTAACAGGCGTAAGTCAGTAAGGTAGATAAAGGTAAATATCCCATATCATAATGGTATATTGTGATATTGCAGTCAACTAATTCTACAGTACTATATCTGTAGAGGTTAATTCCTCTATATCTGACTTAAATAAATAATATCCCGTTGACTGAGTATTTACTCAGGCCAAATCTCCTAGTATTATTATGAATTCACTCGAGTTTATTCAAAAGCCATAACACCAGTTGTAAAGATAGTAATATTGTTAAAAATTAGTAAAAATCCGCAACCACATAGAAAGCAAGCAGACAGAGAAGTGAGTAGGAGTGAATGTAGAGAACAAAGTGAAACGAACTAGATAAGGCATGTGAGCCAATCCCGTTTCGTTTTGCTTTATTTTCTACACTCTCTTACCTGTTTGCTTATGGTGTTTTACTAATTATTAAAACAATATATTATTTCTACAACAAAGTAGGTTATTTTAACATTGAATATCATCAAAATAACGATATCAACAGTTCATGTACACAGATGTGAACAATTATTAGCTAATCTATTGAATATTTTATTCATTGAAACGTTTCTATGATCATTCATATTGAACGACAATGTGACCATTAAATTAATATTTGAAATATGTCAAAATTAAACCTACTTGAATAAATGAGGTAATTTGTAGGACAGAATAATTCGAATCACACCATAAAGTAATATCATAATAAATAATGTCATATGTTGATAACTATGCCCTCCAAAATAATATCCATCATACATTAAAACAGTTATTATTTCATTCCCAGAACATATAATCCCAGTTATAATATAGAATATGGATTCTTTTAGATTACTCTTGAAATCATGAGGATTTCGACAATCATTCTTTCCGTTATGATTACACTCTTCAGTATAAAATGATCTCAAGTTTATCCACAGATTACGTAATCCGATGATTACTACGAGTAGTCCTGGATAAATATGTCCTAGAAATGTCCCCATTTTATGAATATATATAATTAAGAATTTCTCTATAATTTATACTGTTATGTCACTGAGATGTGTGAGCGACTGATCAATTTCATTTGATAACTTCACCAATCAGAATTTTTGATTATAAATATTCTACCGTGGGTATGCTGTCTCGTCTATAGACTATCATTATGGACCTCGACCAATGGTACCATTTGACCAACAAGATTAACCTTGAGTTAACTTAAGATTTACTTTCATTGGTTCACCGAAATGCAATATCTTCTTGTAGACTGATATTATCATATCGATGATTGAAATTCCTGGTAACATGAAATCATGTGGTATACTCCGAAGAAAGACTAGTTCACACATTTTTTTTAAGATGTGTGCTGTGTTGTGTATAGTTTCTCTAAAATCATGAGTATTTTTCTATCCTAAGAACAATGTTTGAACTTTAAACAAATTCTTTACTCTACGTTTGATCATTGTGTTACAATAAAATGCACTCTGAAAATAAGTATATGGTTATATTTACTCCTGGTACATAACGTATATATAGAATTAGGCATAACACTAAAGTGAAAATGGATGGTTGATCAAAGGAACGTGCCTGGGGAAGCTCTGATAGCTCGAATAATACAAAATCTGTTTCTGTCTGTGCTCCATGCCAAGTGACTCCTGCTGATCTTGAAGACATCATTAAATCAAAATATGTTGTCGATTTTACTGCTAAAGAAGTTTCTAGGCGACTAATCTCTGGAAAAAACAGGATTTTCTATAATGTACCTGACAAAATCCCGCTCAAACCAGTGGGATATTCGATACTGAGGTCAGTTAACTTTCAGGATAGTCCATGCTAATGTATTTACCTTAGTAAAACCGTCAGCAGTTCTCGTGCCCTATCTTGCTTAGGTTTGATTCACATTCAGCAGCTGAACTACTGAAGGAATCCGAACGGTTAATCTGTGCACTTTATAAGTCCAGGAATCCCCGTTTAGTCACAGATAAGACCACCAATCAAAGACTAACACACACTACATCTCAGACGAAAATAATGATGTACAAACTATAACAGATTCAGTTGGTTCATCGACAGGTCCCACTTGTGTGACCAACATATCGTCTGTCAGCCAATACTCTAAATTATTAATCAAGAATGCTAACTTGCCACAGACTTCACATAACCTGTTGCAACCTTAGATAACTAATGTATACCAAATGTCGACACAGATTTTATGCTTTTGATTCGATATCTTTCATCAGAACAGAAGAAGCGCATACTCAAACATCCAATCCTAACACGAAGCTTTTCGAAACACTTAAGATTGATACATCTAAATCATGTGAGAAGGAATTAAATATATGTGTCTGGCTCAAAAGCCGGTACCAAAAGTATTGTAGAGGCTCAACCAAACAAATATATACTACAGAACACCAGGTTTGTGGTTTCTAGTCATACAGGTGGTTATATGGGCACACAGACAAGAACTGGTCGATCCACCATTTTGTCATCTCAAACTAAATCTACAAACAATAGGCGAATTGTCAAAATTTCACTTTCTAAATCAATGGAACATACCTTGCTCAACTGATACACAAGACTCCCACCACAACCTTAATGTAACCAAACCTGTTACTGGACAAACTGCAAGGAACCAAGATGTCGCACGATTGAACCAAAAACTTTTGTATACTAAACCTACAAGAAACAACTATCTTCATCAATTTCCCAATGAGCAAGATAGACTGTTAGATTACTCACCATTTACTCAACCTCAACGAGCAGATGACTTTCTTAACTGTCCACCATATCGATTTCTGTAAATAATTTTACCTTACAGAAATAATGATATTTTTGTCCTGCAGAAATACCTGGTCCCTCTCACCACAGCTTGTTCAAGCGATAGCCTACACGCTCGGACAATCAAATCGAACCATATTCAGTCACCACTAAATTGCATAACTTAGATGAGATCGTTATCGGATCGTTTACACACCATGCTTCCTCTATAAGCCCATTACTAATCAATGTACATTCACTTCAAAATATGATTTCCACCTCCAGAACCATGACTTCAATAGCTAAACCTCTTTTCATATTTGTCAGTGAAACATGGTGCTATCCGACAGTGTCTGATTCAGAACCAAATATCCAGAACTACCAGTTTTATCGCTATAGCAGAAAGGCTAAACAAGAAGATGGTTGTCATATGTATGCCTTGAGTTGCTCAATGTGACAAAGTTGAAGATAGTGTCTTGAGTAGTTAACCTGAATCAGTTTGGATATCAGTCAACACCCCAAATCAGTCTACTCGTGAGATGTATATACAGAGCCGCCGACACTTCTAATAACGTGAATGACAAGATTGTTAATACATTTATACGTGTATCTGCCCTAAATGTGAAGGTCACCACAGGAGATTTCATTTACCCTGGAATAAACTGGAATACTGGTAGTGTTAACTCCATAAAATCTATTTTTTCACTCATCTAAATATTAGTAAAGCTATAAACTCCCCTAAGGCCTCAGACAGTTATGCAGTAGATGGTATTTCATCCATTCTATATAGGTATTATTGATCTAATATTACACTACTTCTCCTAAAGCTGTTTATACACACACGCTCTCTCTCTTTCTTCCTCACTCTGGAGACAGGTACTTACCCTTACTAATGAAAACCATGCACATCATAACATGCTACAAATCTTGAGATAAGACTGACAAGAAGAACTATCGGTCTATTAATACCACTGCAGTTATCTCTAGAATGATGAAAAAAATTACTGGCGTCGAATTTTCCAACTATACCGAATACGCATCAATAGAATGTCCACTTAACAAGAGAATTAGTAGTTCCCGACTGACGTAATGCATTGTTGTAATACATGTGAAATATATGCCACCTAAACAATTTTTGAAGTCGAACACTTCAAACAATGTAATATCATATATCTGTCCTCTCCATTTGAGATTGCCATCTATGTCAATCTAACCATGTCTGTAAACTGTCACGAATTCTGTAATTATTATTTTCATACCAAATAAATATAAATATTGATTTCTGTCTAGTGAAATATCCTTGAAACCTTTGATGGAGTTTTGTTCTCTGAGCTGGATGGTTTGGTCGTGGAGCTTTCATCGTTCTTCTGAACGACATCATCAGCACAAACTTCAGACAGAAAGCTCCACGACCAAACCATCTAGGTCAGAGAATGAAACTCCATCAAAATCGTCGACCTGAGCTACAAATCTCCACCACCTTGAAACCTTTGTTTTTAACCAAGGGTAACAAACACATCAGGTTTGATCATATTAAATGTGTAATGATAATCTGTCGAATTACCGTTTAGACCAGTTATGAATTAATCAGTGAATTTTTCGGAAATATTTGTCACGAATGTTAAATAAACGCACAACTAGACTTCGGTCAGCGAATAAGTAGTGGGGACTCCTTCGAGTGACTCCAAGTTGTTGTGAATTGCCTCTAAACCTTAGAAGTATGCTTGATAAGTTGTATCAAATAATTATCGGCCAAATTATTGCAACATTGTTCATCAAACATCATCATGATAGTATATCATGTGTGAGTTTGTGAATCCGTACAATATTTTTATCCTGTAATCCTGTCATGTAGTGCATGAATTGACAGGTATCATCTTCATATCTCAAAATGTGATATCCTTATGGTGTAACCAAATCCACCAAAATCTGTGAGCTTGCATTTCGAAACCAGTTAGTACACGCAATGGAGATCTATATGTTTGTGGACTAAAACAGCAACCACGATCATCAGCATTTCTGTAGCTCCATTATCCTTCGAAATTTTCGTGTCTTCACTTCTTCTGTCATTAAGAACTTTAGGTCCATACTTTCACCTGTATTCATTTCACCAATAACAGTGTCTTTAGAAATATGTAGGTTACATTTGAGTTCCACTCTAGTGAAAGACCATATTAGTGCACATCTACATTGTGTTCGTAACAGAATGAGTTGACTGGAAATGAACATTTGAATAGTTCAACGTCAACTTATCAGTTTAATAGTAACTTGGTCTTTGAGAGACCTGAGCTAGATCCTAGGTGGGGTTGTATAGGGGCACTCCTTACGGGTTCCGAATTCGACTCGAATGAAACAATTATCCAGTCATTCCTTGTTTTCGATTGTTTGATGAAAAGTACCTTCAAATTATAGAAGGTCTTTATATGCTGACCAAAAATAATACAATTCTATTTCCTAAATTATTAGTTTCATGTTGCATTAGGATTTATAATGTATGGATCTATAATGTATTTATGTATAACTTACTGACTAACAAGAAATCACCGTTTAGTCTAACACTTTCCACTCAACATTCATGAATTACTGTTAGAATATTTTTCGATGGTTTTGAAATCTTTATATCGAAATAATTCAAGATAAATTTACTTTCTTATTATCTAGTTAAACTTAGAGGTCTCTTGTTAAAATTGTAAAAACGATGACAATTAATTAGTCCGACTATGATGAGTTCACTATACATCCTCGGATCATTGAAGTTGCTTATTGATAAGTTTTTAATGTAAATAGTCTTCAATATTGTTTACTAAACTGATAGCAAAGTATGCATTGGTATTTTGGAAATTGAAGGGAAATACTTTGAAAGCTCACTCCTCTATAATCAATCAATAATAAATTGGGTACAGGATGCACAGCATGTACATAAATTAGTCCAATAAGGAACAAGAAGAACTTGACGCATATTGTTCCAGTTTTATTTTCATTTGTTATCATCAAAGTACATCAGTTGATCAATCAATAAGTGATTAAGTGACTAAATTAGGTTTGTGTAACATGTTTATAAATGACTTTTAGAGATAATAATTCTGGAAACACGTTTTAAGAGTAAAAGGTAGACAATATATAAAACGAATTCTGGTGAAACAGCACATATATAGACACATACAGAAATAGCGAGAGAGAGAGAGAGTGGGAGTGAAAGAAAGTGTGCAGACAACTAACAATAAAGAAAAAATCTGAAAATGAAAAAGTAACAAAGTGATCACATTAGCCAGCATTATTATCATCTGCCTATTACATCCGTTCACTTTCAAATGGACATAAGCAAAATATTACATCTGTTGGATAAAGTTCAAATTGATTCGGTGGATTTGATATTACATAACGATTTAATCCGAATTTATTAAAATGTTGGTCAATGAAATCCAAGAAAGTATTCTTATTTAGTGTTCGATTATCGTGTTGTTGTTGTTGTTGTCGTTGTAAGGTATCCTCAATACTGAGTGATTTCCTATTTAACTGTAGTGAATGCTTACGTAGTACTCTATCTACAGGTAATCCACATGTACTTAATCGTCTATGTAATTTTGCAAATTGTTTATCGTTATTTTGACAATTTGCTTGGCTATTAGTTTCTCTCATTTGAATTGACTCATCAGTGGAATTGATTTTTGGTTTAATAGTACATGGAACTGTAACTAAACGAGATAATCCATTATTTGTGTTGAATGATAAACGATAAATGCCAAGACATAAAATTCCATGTTGTTGAATAGCGTGACAAAATAAATCACCATAATTACGAAATAAAGTTATTTTACCATTGTTATCAGTCCTGATTAAACGAGAATTAGTTAAAGAGATTTGTTCAATTCGCGGCCTTTGTCTTGTCTCAAGGAGATCGGGAAATAAACACCAATCTTTTCTAGTAGTCTGAATACTTTTAGTGGATAATGCTTTTCCTTTATTATACCGGTCACCATGACCAATTAGACCGCCGCCTTCAGCTAACCACTGTTCCAAAGCTGGTGTAACACCACCAGTCACAAGATGACGTATTAGTGTCATTGAATTACGATCAAAATACGCTGTACTTGCCAACACATCAAGAACAGAATTTGTGAATGCTATGCCTTTAGCAAATGGTGCAGTTAATGAAGCCGCGATCTGTAATCCACCTGAATGATCTGGATCTAAGTAGTGTATGTTATTGTCTGTCATTAATTCTGTAATCAATGGAATCTCCGAACCGCTCCGACGTTTATGAACATTATGTACAAATGTTTTATGACGATGATAAGGAGAAAATTGCATTGCTCTAATATTCAATGTACACAAGATCACTTCCTTATCCAACATATATGGATCGTCAACCTTCACTGTACCTCTTGATCCTAATATGACGCAAACTGATGAATATTGTATGCGTGCAGCTCGTAGATCAGCTCTAGATAATGCACTACCGGCAAGTGTGTAAACTTTTGGGAAATTCGCTATATTCGACCACTCTCTTTGTAGAAATTTTATGTCACCTAGAAACAGAATAGTTCTTAATTGATTAGGATGGAAATTGCTTGCTCTTAATGGCATAACAAATGAATGCAGACCTAGCAGTGGAGCATCTGGTTCAGCTAGAATGCACACTAGAATGTGATTGTATAGATCATGTGATTGTTTATGAGATGAATTTGTGGTAATTAGATTATCTTCAAATCCTTGCCGATCACAATAATAATACATACCTAGTATAAGAAAGACAGAAAGAAATTAACACAAGGGAGAATGTTAGAAAATATTCATATCAGTCATTATTTATTGAACCAGATATTATCATCAGTACTGAATACTCTGATAATTCAAAAGTAACAGTTGATCATGTGTAGAAGTGAAATTCCAAAAAATACATTATTTCCTATTCTCTGATTAATAGATGTGTACATTATTCAGTCTTTAACTCTTAGTTTACTCTCCACAGACTTAGCAGTTACGTGCCAGGCGAACGAGTTACTGGATTTCTCTCTTCAATTCACTTGGATTACTGGTTGATACAAAAGTGGTACGCTTTGCACTTGATGAATTTCAATACATAACTAACTGGTCATGCTCTGGTGATTTGTGGAATCCCTATGCAAATACCTCAACATTTTACTTTCAATGCTCTAATCCTTTTCTAATTACCATTGGGAGTGAAATTGAGAACACGGATTTTGACTGTGATTGCGATTTGTTAGTTGAGTTCCATTTTGGTTGTTGTGTTAAGAGGAGACGCATCTTAACAATCGACCGACTGTTTCAATTCCTTCCAAACACTTGTCATCATGGTTTGGTATTATTTTACTGCGGTTACCATGGCACTCAATCATTGAGATAAAAATTATGATTATTCACCACGTGAAATTTTGAAACGTATTCGAACGTGAGAAAGTGATTCAATTTAATAGGACTGAAACGACCTGAATAAAATGCATGAGGCAATAGAATCGATCTCGTATGATAGCGACTACTATAATTTTTTTGCAATTTCATGAGAATGTACATTGACGTCACATATTGTTTAAGGAATGACTGAGAAATTTATGTTGCATGAAATGTCAGTTACATCTGAATACGTTCTCAATGTCACTTATATAAATCTAACATCACTATAACAATCATCAATATACAAGTCAACGAATCATGTATTGGGTTCACAGAGATGAATTGTTTAAATATACTTAATTGTATTATTGATTTTATGAAACATATATAGGCTAGTAACTGGTGATTTATGCCTCTAATACTTTATTGTCCGTTCAAAAACTTATTTACCTGTAATATCAAATTCATAAGTGAATTGATCTGTATGAGTTTTTAAATGAACCTCTGTATCACTTGATCTTCTAGGTTGATTTTCATTGACATTTGAATAATGTTCTTCTGTATCATAAGCTGAATGTAAACTATTTCTACTTGATAATGTTTTAGATTTTGTATGAGATTCATTGAAATCTTTATCCATTATGACAGGCATATCTTTATCTGTTTGACTTATTTGTTTATTATGTAATAATAATAATGATGATGATGATGATGATGATGGTAGATTTGGTATCGTTTCAGATTCTTCTATTAATTCTGGTATTATTAATGATGCTTTTAAATTATTAGTTATTTGTTGATTCGGTATAGAATATGGATCTTTTTAGATTTACATAATCTGCTTAGTTTTAAATGGGAATTAGATTTATGTAATTTTTGTTGACATGTACAAGATTTAATATTAGATGGTGATAAATTATCCATATGACAAGTTGTACAATAATATAAAACTTTATTTGCATTCTCTTGTGAATCACATATAAAGAAACCAATAGTTCCTTGATTAATAATAACATTTTGATCTAGAGTTGGTGAAACAGCTAAATAGTATTTAGTATTATTGACATGTTCATTATCATCATCATCATCATCGTCGTCGTCGTCGTCATCATGATCGTTATCATGATGTGAGTTATTATTATCAATGTTACTATGATTATTGTTGTTGCTAAGTGAATTTTTCGATATTCTATTTAATGATTGTCTATCTATATTTTTATTCATTTTAGCTACAACAGCAATTAATAAAAGATCTAAATATTTTCGACAAATAATAGCCGCTTCAGTAAATTGTAAACCATTAAATGTTATAGAAAATTTAGCTGAATATATTTCCATACTAGCACCATGTAAATAATTATGAACCCAATTATTTGAATCTAATAATAATAATGATGATTCTGGATCCAATATTGTAGATGTGATAGGATCCATAGAATATTGTATTGATGGAACTGTATTATGTATCATTTTGAATTGTTCATTTTGATTTGATTTAAATAATGATTTAATTATATTTGGTAATTGAATAAACCATTTTGTTTTTCTTCTTTCTTTATTAAATGAAAGTGGATTAGATGATGTTTGAGATTGATTTAAAACAACTTTAGAATATGGATTTGAATTGAAATGATGCATAGTTTTAGAATGATGATATGAATTTATATAATTTTTTGTAAATTTTGCCGCTTCTTTTAATCCTTTTATAGAATGCATTGTAAATAAATTAGTTAATAAGGTTGAAAATCCTGGAGCTATACAACTTTGTGCTAAAAAACCTAATTTTAATTCACTAAAACAAATAATCTCATCACCACATTCCCAATTCCAATATGGACTATTTAATAGATAAGCCTTGTAGTAAGAAAAGAAAAATAGAAGAAGAAATAAAAGGATTTTAATTATTATTATTATTATCAGATTCAATTTAAATGTCATAGATACATTGTAACTTTTATGAGATATACTGCAAGAGTGTATAAAGTGTGTAAAGTAGATTATTTACTTTAACACATAGATATTGGTACAAAGGGCACCAAATACATATCCGCCACACAAATCTCATTTGATATGTGTGAGGGCTGTGATACTGCCCGAGTGCCCAGAGTGAAGTAGGTGGTTTTCTCAAGGGGCCACACCTGGAGCCTTTGACCTGAAAGTCTAATCCACAAGGCAGTGGAGCGACGTAAGGAGATGCAGTCCCATGGTAACCGGTGACCGATAATTGGTTCATACGCCATTTGTTTCTTCAGGATCCTGAAGCTCATGTGAACCATTGGTTTGGAATTAGTGTTTTCCAACTCCCCTAGATGAATCTTCAATATCCACCAACCTGGTTAAAGCTCAAGGCATTCTCTTTTCGTCCTCTCAAGTTCGTAAACAACACCTGTGGTGCGAGAAGCCAGTGAGTAGGACTTCCCTGACAGAGGCTATATACGCGTGGCCATGTGAGAGTATTTTGAGAGGGAGAGCGGACTCTCCCCGTACCAGGGCATTTGGGGGCGTAAAGTAGATTAAAACTGTAGTACTGAGTCAAACATTATCAACATAGTAATTTCTAATTATTAACACAAAATTCGTTAAATACTCCCATTTATCTTTATTTTTTAGATATATTTGACGAGGGCCTAAAACTCTTACAACTGTTAAGATAAAACTTACTGTACCAAAATATATATTGAGAATGAGATTCTTGTGAAAGGCAAAACCTATTAACTCCTAATTCACACTCTGATACAAAGTGTATTCAAAACAGAAATCATCAACTATCTATATGTTTTATGTTTTTGAACCTAAACTCACCGACGTCAAGTTAATATTTTCATTATAATTATCATTAATAAATCATCCATTTTCATATGAGATCGCCAGATAGTAGCCTCGTATAGCCGATTTCTCGATCTTTCAAAGAGTTGACCAAAATTCATTGTAGGGTTACTGATCAACCTTTCATAACACTATAAGCAAAGATGGATAGTGACTAGGCAGTCCCATTTGGGACTCATCACCTGGATTTACCTGCATCTCAGACATGATGTTCACCTCGAGACTCGAATCTACTATCGTTTGCTTCAAACGCTATCGCGTTATCCACTTAGCTACTGAGTCCTGACAGCCACTTGCTTGTGCAATAGAATGAAGTTTCTAATTCACTTGGTGTTGTTTACTTGAATCTTCCCATTGATGGTTAGGACTGCAAATGATCAATCTTTTATTGGCATATATGAATACTGTGTGTATTGACTCGATATTGCCTTAATTCACAAGCTTTATAACACTATTTATAATCTTATTAAATAATTTTAGAAGGAAACTAATTGATCATATTCCGTTGAGAGAAATCACAAATATTAAAGAATCATAAATTACACACAACAGCATCGTACACATTCCATTCTTCTTACCTTTTTTAAGAAACTTTCTTAAATTAACAAATTAGTGTATTACCTTTAGTGTCGATCAAGGTCATAGAAACAATTTTACTCAAAAAATGTACCTTGTGTGTGTGTGTGTGTGTGTGGAAAACCATTTAAGTTTTCAGAACATATTGATTATATGAAATATTACTGGTTTCTTTTAGTCTCATAGTCATTTATCAAAAGTGGATTATTTTGAACATAAGCAAACCTTAAAATACTTTTAAAATGTGAATTCAATGTTGACAATAAGAGTAAAACAGTCAAGATGTTTAAATTCACTAGGTGTTGTTTTACTTGAATCTCCCCATTGATGGTTAGAACTGCAACTGATCAGTCGTCCTGGGGTGAACATCAACTCGGATGCAGGCACATCAGCTGACGAGTCCCAAATGGGACGAAACTTGCGTCCTGGATTCCATCTTTGCTTAAATAACCAAGATGTTTTCTTAAGAAGATTGTTCTTAAAATTAAACATGTATATTAATACTTTACAGAAGTCGATTGTGATAAAATGAATTGCAAAAGCGATGTCTCTGGTCATTGGTATGTAATCACTTGATTGATTGATATAAATGACTTAAACTTGTTAGTGGACGTTTTGACTTTATTTCGGGTGAAATGAACGGGATCTTGAATAGAGCAAATCAGTTTATTGTATTAAGCAAATAGCATACTGAATTCGTAAAATATGAAAATAATATATTGAATGCACCTTTAACACATCTTCCTTGGGTTGGTTCTTACAAGCCTCATCGTTATTCCATTCTTCTTGCCGCTAAAACTACTTCTACCTTTCTTCTTCTCCTTATGTTCCTCTTCTGTCACTAAAATTCCTACTTCTAATTCTTCATACCTCCTACTAGCCATCGTTCCGCTCGCCGTACCGCCGTCTCTGTCATAGTCTGTGCTTCGCTCCCCATTGCAATGTCGAGCCTGTGGGTGTGTTGACCTTAGTAGCTCTGTAGACACGCCGGACCACCTAGATCCGATATCCAACCAGAACCTGTGACGTTTCACGTCTCCTCTCCGTGGACAGCGACTGCTACGTCTAACTCCACCTCACCAGGCCAATACACTCGACATCTTCTATCCGAGCCAGATCTTTTCAAGTGACGGCTCCCCGTCGGCCCACCAATGCATCCGCAGAACTACCCACTCTCCACCTCCCCGTGGGCAGCGCCACCAAATACAAAACACGACATTAAGCAGGAATTATGTATGTTTCCTGCGAGAAGTTAAAAAGCGTTAGCATGGTACATATATACAGCTTCCAATCGTCCATTTGCATCTTCCGGTGTGTTCTGCAATGTGAATCGTCTTCTCAAATGACCTCCAAGTGTTCTGTTGACGCCGTGCTTTCGGTGCACCAAAGCTCTCCATACTGTTTACCAATTGTTGCACCTTTGACACCACGTTCCGCTACACACTACTTACAAACATCATTGTGAGTAGCGTGCGCGACACTGATTTGGGGTATGTAGAATTGTTTGAAACTAGAGATTGATTGGGAGTTCCTCACAGTAAAGATTCTATTAAAATTCCGAAACTATGTACATCTCATTTTTGTACTGAGAATTCAATTTTGGGAAAATAAATGATCAAAACTTCGTTTCTATGGAAATAATGTAGACTGGTATATTGAGACTAAATAGAATATCTTAAATGAATATTCATAAATGATTTACAACCATGAAATTTCAAGTTGAATCGTTAAACTGCTGATAGTTTTCTATTAATTTTGAACTAAATAGTTTGAATAAACCTGCGGATTTGGTTAATATATTTCTCTTAATGAAAAACAGAGCAACTGCCGTATGCACATTGAAGTAAATAAAAAAGACATTCTAGTCTTTGTGTATTAGCGAGAGGACTTTTTATGTGGAATTGTGATTCCTACATTGGATATGAAGAAATCCTCTCTTGCAAAGTTTCTATCCACTGTTTGAAATCATTTTAGTCGTAGCGTTGTCCACAAATTTCAGATTTACTAGAGTGATATCTTCTTCAGAATATCTGATATTTTCATAATAACATCACGAAGTAGTTGTGAATGGGTACTGCTGAGGAGTCGCATACCAGGACGAATCTCCCGGTTTGTGTTCCAGCGTTTTCGATGAATGTCTAGCTAAGATCAATTCGTGATTAAAACTAAGAAAATTCTATAATCTTCACAAACTTTCAATTACTTTTCTGTTTCACGACAACGACGGTAACAAAGCTTTGATGATTAGCTATTTTTTCAAACCATTTTAGTTTTCTGATTTTCAGAGTTATAATTAATTCTTAAATACGACAGATAAAGATGGAAATTATCAGATTGGGGGCTTTCGTGGAGACTGAATTCATGAGTCGATTAAAACTAGACCATTAGGATGGAATGGGCGTCCAATGCTTTCAGGTTTTCCATGATGATCTAACTTCAATTGACTTATTAATTCAACTATTAAAGATTGAAATGTTGAGTTCGATTCGCGCCACATCTTAAATCTTATAAACAGATGGAGTAAATTTAATGTCAGATGAGGGTGGTCTTAAAATTTATGTAAACAGAGAGTTGTTTTTTAACTTTCATTTGAAATTACCCGTTGTTTCAAATGCTCTTTCGGTAGATCCTAATATTACAGTTATATGGTCATTATTATACGAGCAACTGATTGATCAGTTATTAATGGACTGTAGTTGAATAAGTACGTGCATTATTCCAAGTCTACCTACTAAACTTAATGTACACAGATGACTTTCATAATTTCCTGTTAACTCGTCCAACCGAATACTCCATCAAACAAAAGATAAACAAAATCCATACTGCAAGTGGGTGACTAGCAGCTATTTGAAGAATAAAATAACATGTGGACAATAACAACAACCTTAAACAATGTATATCAGTAAATTAGAGGTAGAAATAGTCATTTCAATGTAAATACTGCTTCAACAAAGTTGATTCTGACATAACGGAATGTTTGGTGCAGCAGAATTTAGTTCTACTAGTTTGAGAATAGCAACAAAAAACTGAAAACCAGTATATTTATCCTACTTGTTTAATTTAAGTAGTGTGAATTCACAAGCAAAATTAAACAATTGTTTTACCTTATTTTCAGTTTGAAGCAATTGAACAATAATTCTGATATGACTAGCAAAATTCTTTACAGCTATAACACGCATGATATTTGCTGCATCAGTCTGATATGGATCTTTGGTTGTTGCAGAGGCTAATATTAGGCATGCATCAGCACTTTCCATCTTGACACGTTGAAGATCATTATGATCCATGACAGTACCCTTTCAAGTAAAGAAGAAACAGAAGATTTGATTATATTAACATGACAGAGAAACAGCTAACAGTCAATAGACATGTGAAAGTCATGTAGAATTCGCTTGAGGAAAAAGTATAGTCTATAAAAAATTAAGTTTATCGGTAAAATGTAAGTCAATTTATGAAAACCCATTGTAAACTTCGGTATCACTCATTTTAAGAAAATTCGTGTGAAGTCCTAGCTACACAGTGCTGTCGAGTACTAGACTAATAAAATATAGCTGATCAGTGGTTTCTAATTGTTTTCTATCTGGGGTAAGCACATTATATAAACTATTTCTCACCGTTCTTTTTCATGATTTTATGTTTTCCTAGCATTGTGGCTTGAAGTTTCCAGGCAATTAATAAAGCAGTGAGACTTGCCTACTGTGTCAGTGATAAAAACCATGGATAAAAAGTTTGTTATTGATTAACTATAACCAAAATCACAGTGTTCTAAGCTAAAAAACTAAAGCAGTGGAACCTAAAATACTATAAATAAACCATATTCTTCCTGGAAATCTCGAATGTACTTTCCGGTAACTAGTTATGTATACTATTAAAGGGTTAAATGTAGTAAGTCATCGTTAAATAATATGTTCTACGAGACATAATGTGTACTAAACTTTATTCTTTAGTAATCATTCGATTTGTCAAAAACTAGTTGATTTCTTTTTAACAGAAAGATACAACATCATGCCCTCAAATGCCTTGGTACGACCGAGGGTAGGGAGAGTCAGCTATCTCTCTCGAAATGCTCTCAAATGGCCACGCGTATACAGCTATCACCAGGGAAGTCCTAATCACTAACTCCTCGTAGCGAGGGTGTTGCTTACGAAATTGAGAAGACGAAAAGAGAATGCCTTGAGCTTTAACCAGGTTGGTGGATATTGAAGATCCATCTAGGGGAGTTGGAAAACACTAATTGCAAACCAATGGTGCACATGGGCTCCAGGATCCTGTAGGAACAAATGATGTATGAACCAATTATCGGTCACCGGTTACCATAGGACTGTATCTTCTGACGTTGATCTACTGCCTTGTGGATTAGACCTTCAGGTCAAACGCTTCGGGTATGACCCCCTAATAAAACCCCGTGCTTCGATCTGGGCAATCGGACAGTATCATATCCCACATACGAATCAATTGACTTGTATGGTGCATTTGTATTCAGTGCCTCTTTGTATCAATATTTATGTATTCAAATAAATGAATAAATATAATAAACACTTACCCTAAAATATTTTACTCTTAAAAAATGTAATCGTAGTAAATTCTCCAATTGTAAATCCGGTTTTGATCGATTGATAAAAACAACTTCAACATCTGAACGTTGTCTGTCTTCATGTAAAAAATCATTTAAAAATGTTCTTACAGAATCTGTTGTTATATCACCACATACAACAATATGTGATTTTCCTTCTGGTTTTTGATAAACACCAGAATATTTACTTACATTAAAAAACATATCAACTATTTCTGGAATAGCACTAGCAAATGTAGCCAAAGCGAATAGAATAAACAATGAAATAAAAACTCTACCCATATAAGTTTGTGGTACAATATCTCCATAACCAACAGTTGACATTGTTACAATAATATAATATAATGAAGCTGTATATGGTAAATGTTGGCTAACATTATATGTATTAGATCCAAAAAAATTTCCAGTATTCTCAAATAAACTAAAACATCCAGCACCAGCAAACCATATGGATATAAATAATGTACACAATTGACACATACGTAAACTAGATGCAGATTTTATCACATTCAAATTGTTTAATACTTCAGGTAGATTACATAGACGAAAAATACGTACAAAACGAAATCCAATCCATGTTCTTTTAATGAAAAATCCAAATATTGTTGGAGGAACAGTTAAATAATCTAATATAGAATACCATTCAATCCAAAATAATAAAACATCACTGGATGCAATTAATCGAACTATGAAATGTAATAGAAAGAAAATATTCATTGTAAAATCTAATAAACGAAATCGTCGACCTTTATGACCACATTTTTCAATTTCTGATGGCCACATTGTTGCTTCATAAGCATATATACCAAAAGATGTTAAACTGAATATCATTGATAAGGCAATAAATATTCTACCAGGCATCCAATCATAACTGACAAGTCGAATAGCCCAAGAACGACCTTGAATAAAAATTTGTTGAATAGATGTCCAACACTGAAAACAGCATTTCTTAGAATTATGTTTCTTATATATTTCAGATCCAGTTGAACTAATCCAATTTCCATCATCATTTGTTTCTGTTTTAGTATCTTTTTGAAGTAATGAAATTCATTTTCATCTTTATTTCGATGAGATAGATTAGTATGTTGACTAGCTGAATGAATTGACTGTTTACTTTTTATATACATTATAATATGCATTATTATTCTATATGTAATAATAATAAATATTCCACTAAAAAAGCATCCAAGTGATATAATAAAGAATATACCCCATAAACGTTTCTCCATACATTTTTCTAAATGTTGATGATCGTCATTGAGATGAGCTATTTGTTTTTTATTGATTGACATAGTTATTTATGAGTAGAATTTAACATCAATAATTAGAGTTGAAATTTATGAACACAGGGAGTTCACCTATGTCAGGAAATGAAAAGAATAGTGAATACAATTACTGATTTGTAGTAAAGTTTCCAATAGTTTATGAAATCAATTTTAAATATATGAAATCAAGCTTTATATTACTTAAATTTGATTCGCAATTATTGTATAGTGTTTATAAACACTAGTTGATTACATAAATTAAGGTACTTTAAGTAAAATGTGAACTTTCATCTTAGAGTAAGGTGGATAGTGTGTGTGATATATACTACCTATACCGACAGACATAAATAGTATGTAACATTAATCAGAAGTGGATTGCCTGGTAGCAGGAGATTGAGAAGATTGAATCGAATAGAATAGGAACAGAAAGTAATTGTTATGGGGAAGCTAGATCCCCAGAATTCACTGAAAAAGGTCCTAATTTTGTAATTTTATTTCGAAAATTTAAATTTCTTTGTTTTCGCGCCAAAAGCGCTCTTTTCATCTTCATGTCATATTTCCCACTTGGGAGAACCTTAAACGCTATTGGTCCATTGTGTCTTTTAGTATGCTATTTTGTAACGTTTCCCAAGGGCAGTTTGTGCTGTATATATACGTTTTGATCTGTATCTGTTGTAATCGCTCATGCTTCTGGCCTTTTTCAGAATATACCTCCCCGTTTGGACTTTGACATCTATCTCTAGTTAGCGGGTCTGGGACATAAAGTGAGGCTTAAAACTGAAGAAATGAATTTGTATCGGTCAATGACCTACATTAAATCATTGAAAATTGGTACTGTTTTGCAGCACACTAATCTTCAAATCAATGGCTAAATGACTGCATTTGGTGATGCGGTTTTAAAACTCAGAAGAAGCATAGACTCCATCGTATTCAGCAGATCCATCCTGTTTATTAAGGTCAAGAAAATCAACATCGCACAATACTATCACGTCTGCAACTCATTAATACTCGTCACGCCCCATGTAATTTATCTCAATGTCTTTTAATCCGGTCTCATAGTCACTATGTAGGTCAAAAAAAAGCCATAATTTATTATTCATGGATTAATTTCAACATATTTTTTTTCAAAAATGGATCAAAGAACTCAGGCTAAATGACTGACGACATGATACATGTATTACTATGATAGTATGAAAAATATATACAGCACTATTATATATGTATATATATATATAGTACTGTACTTACTTATCAATGATACCAAAGTGAATATCCACTTAGTATTTACTCACTCACACTAAATCGATTTCTTAACAAACCATACTAGTTCTAAGACATTATCATAAAAAGTTGTATACTACTTTATTCAGTCATCATTTACCCCATAATTATGAGATAAATAATATAAATAACATTGAAAAGATTGATTATGGTTTTTTTTAATTATAAGGTGAATAGATGAATAAAAGAGAAGTATTCAGGTAATTTAGAGAAGAAAACAAAAACAGGCGAGAGTATAATTTATGGACGAACCAATCAGGTGTAAAATAACAGGTCTTGAATTTTCGCGCGAAATTCACTCATCCATTTGGTTTAAAAGAAATTTGGGATTATAGCTGATGTCAGTTCGTGATAAAAACCCTAAATCTAAGTCATAATCCTGATTCTTCAAACTACTTTATAATCCTTATTTAGCCCTAGTAAGTAGGTAGACACTCTCAATGTCAATTAAAGGTTGATTAAAGGTCGTCGATAAATTATGGTCTCACCACAAAAAAAAGTAAATTGGTGGTTTTTTAAGAAAATGATCTGTTAACAGTGTTGTTCGAAGATATGAAATGTTGGAGGATTTTCAACTCAACTAGATACTTTCCGTGGACTAAATGATTCAGTTTGCAAAGTTTTCATGAACAGAGTTTGTTTCATATAGAACTGAGTTTTTCCGATATTCTATAAGTATCAAATCAGCTCAATCTAATGGGGTTCTGGTGAGACTATAATTTATGGACGAGCTTTGAGCGACGCTAAAGTGACCTCGACAGTGTTCACCTAATAATGAGGACCAAATGAAGGTTATAAACCAGTGTGAGGAATTACAATTATGATTTACAGTTGATGATTAGGGTTAGGAATTAGATTTCGGTTTTTCATCACGAACTGGCATCAGCTATAATCCCAAAACTCTATTTATCCAAATGGATGAGTGAATTTCGCGTGAATGGTTCATCCATAAATTATAGTCTCGCCACTCTATTGTTTGACTTCTAATTAGATGTGATTGATCTGTCAATAAACTGAGTCTATTTCGACGTGCCTGCTAATTGCTAGTTGATTTGAATATTATGACCAGTGAAAGCAACAGCAATAAAAGATAATTGTATTTATTTCAAATCTTGAAGTACTTAATTTTCCCTATTGTGAAGGTCATGAGTAAGTTCGTTTAAATAATCATTACCTTAAACAATAACTACATGTGTTGAGTAACATCAATAATAAATACTGGCTAACTGACCTTATTTATAACTAATAGGAAGAGAAATTTCGCAACAAAATACCATTGTTTAAAAGTGGTAACTCATTTCAATTTACCCATCGGATGATAGATGTTATTCTCTTGAATATTCTTACACAGAAAATCTCACCTAGTGTCTGTTCTTGTTGTTCAGTGTGTTATCATTAAAATAATCTTCTACAATGAAATTGGATAGTATATTTATAAACTTTCTTGACTATTTTAGTGAAAAGCGAGGGAACAATTTAATTAATACAAAGTGAATTTAAACTTCACCTCATTGCACAAGTAAGTGACTATCAGGACTCAGTAGCTAAGTAGATAGTACGATGGCGTTTAAAGTAAAAGGTACTGGGTCGGAGTCCCAGAGTGAACACCAACTCTGCGATGCAGATACATCCAGTTGACGAGTCCGGAATAGGATGAAACGAGTGTCCTGGATTCCACTGCTTAACCACTATTTATCTTTGCTTAGAATACATATGAGCTTAAATGTTCATAATACTTAAAAAAAGATAGAAATTAAATAATTTACTAACCAAGTTGAATAAGAATCAACGAATTTGAAATCAGAAGGGGTTTTTGTGAATATTATAGTAATTTCGATAGTTGAAATCATGAATCAATTGAAGCTAGATCAACATGGAAAACCTGGAAGCACTGAACGGCCGTTTCATCCTATTGTGGGAGTCTATAATATCCACAAAACCCCTTCTCATATGAATCAACATATGCTCAAGACGTATTTCCTGGAGATCTAGTGAGAAGTAGCGACCAGTGGTGTTCAACCGGGTCTGTTGTGAGACAGTAACTCAGTGAAGACAATGATGGATGTGTCATATTAACATCGTTGGATACCGGCCAGCTCAGTGGTTTAGTGGTTAAGCGCTCCCCCGCGAGACTGATAGGTCATAGGTTCGACTCTCATGTGGTGGGGTGTAGGAAGCAATTTCCTACAGGTGTAACTCTAAGCTATTCTCCAGACTGTCGAACACAGAGTCTTGGTTTAGCCAAAGTCAGAACAAGTATGCTATTTGGCTTGATAAACTTTATCTGTTTCTAAGACATAAATTAACACCGTTAGTATACAAAATAAACAATACAGTCTATCAACACAGGGAAAAACAGAGACATAAATAACATACCGAACAGTAGCTAGAGGATAGGAAAAATGAGTCAACAAGGCAAATATTGTTTTATAGTGAACATGAATTTGTGATTGGTGAATAAACAAGACATAGTCATACAAGGTCAAAGAACGTTAATGTGGTGGTGGGCGTTTCACTTTATCATTGGTGAGTTCGTTTATCGATCACACCTTACAGTGGGATCGTGGGTGCGCACTGCTGAGGAGTCCCACGGTAGGACGAAACGGCCATCCAGTGCTTCCACGTTCTCCATAGTGGTCTAGCTTCAATTGACTCATGATGTCAATTATTGAAATTAATTTAAAATCATTAAGAATTATAGATTGGAAATATGGTTGAATATTAACTTTTAAAATATGTTTCAATCTGACTGTTAATTTGTATCCATCCCGGTTATGACACAAAAAAACCATACAATCTTATTGGTCAGATTTTAGGTAAATTCATATACCACAATTATAAGAATGAATGAAGTTTGAAAATGATTTAAGAAACAATAAGTGTCCAAGGTAATTTATGAACAAATACCGAAATGATTGGAATGCAATATGACATTGAATAAATTTCTGGATTGTATAATTAATGATAAGAGTAAATATGGATAACATGGAGTAAGAGAAATTTGTTAGAACTTATGGCTTTGTACTCTATTAATATATAAAGTAGTGATACTACCAACTAGAGAACAGTGAATTATCGACCGGACCAATGATGTCTCAAACCTGTACGAACAGACTACAGTCCTTATCCGTCCTTCTTCCTGTCTGTTGAGTTCCGAACACTAATCTTAGCCTCTGAAATATGAATCGTTTATTTCAAACATACCGGGTTTATATACAAAACAAACAGATTACATCGCACTACAAAATAGAAAACGACATTTGTACAAGATTTAGCCAGATGTGACTGTGAATGTGAGAGACTGTAATTAATAGA